TGTGGATTTGTCAGAAAACTGCCGATTAGTCTCGAAAATATGACCAACTTCACTTCTAATGGTTTCGGACAGGGCAAAGAAACGGAGAATGGACCAACGGCTTCTCGTACACGGGAAGTTGTCTGTTAAAATTTGCAGTCCTCATAGTGTTGGAGAAAACTTTTTCCTGTTGTCAATGTTAATAATACTGTTGGACATGGAGAACAAGAATCCTACCTAAGTAGATTAATGTAATCTTCTGTTCAACTCAATGATATCCAGCAAAGTAGATGAAATGACTCAGGACATAGAAAGTGCCTTACTTACTTTACTACAGTCCAGAAAACTTTTTTACAAGTAGCTGAATCTATTCTACCTAAAAAGGACGCTCTTGTCGTGGTATATGTCCGATTCCTCAATGACAGTGACTTAATGGAAGTGATGCCGTTTGCCAGGCGAATCAAAACTCATACAAAACACCAGTGCATGTTAGGGACAGTCAAATTGGTCTCTGACTGGAAACTCCGTCCCAATGCACAACTCAGTTGCATGTGTAACAGCCGATACTACAGCAGTGGTCGGAAGATATAAAGTATGTATTGCCCAGGCAACGAATATTCTCTTTTCTGTTCATGCAATTCACGGTACTTCTTCGAGAACACCCAGTGGCTAAGAACTTGGAAGGACACCTAAAGGAATCACTGTCAAATCTTATTACAGTAGTAAGCAATAGCAGATGGCGCCCTCTTTAAGATCGTCTTTTCCAGCAATTTTGTGAGCAGAACAGTGCAGATTTCCAGGTTCTGCTTTTGCATACATAGGTTAGATGGCTCATCAAAAGTAACTGTGTTTGTCGTTTTGTTGAACTGTAGAACGTCATCACTTTATTTTCAGGAACTGATCAGGAAAGAAAACGTGTTTTAAATGGCCGTCGATTTCGAAAAACCCAACTTACTAAATAAAACCCTTCAAAGCAATTTGAGTAAGCTCATCTTAAGCAGAGAAGTCATTATCGTTCTTTGTTAAAAGCTGTAGTGTATGCTTAAAACATCGGACATCGGGAATTTTCACTTCAGTGCAAGCAGCTTAGGCTAGAATCGCTTTGGCTACGCAGAATTCAAGTCAGCCTTGTCTTCTTATATCAGCGCGTCAAGGTCTTGGACTCAAGTATTAGCTTCCTTTTTCAAAGAGTACTTGATTCCCGATATCCTTTACACAAAAGTCCGAACTCATTTTGCCAGCCTAAAGCGCACTGTTCCCTACGTTTTAACTTCTTTCTCTACAGATACGCCAGCGTATGGAATAGTCTACCAGAAGTCGTTAGGGCACCTGAGAGAGTAATTGCATTCTCCTTGGCTACAAATGGAGAACCCATGGTTCCCTCATAGTGGAAATCTTGAGCGCCTGCGCATCTGCAGACGAGTTTTGGAAACAACGCCCTGAACATAGATAGTTGCATAGCAACACCAAACTGTGACTGCCCGATTTTGAACGATCTAAATCCCGCCTATGTATAATCATTTTACCTCCGCATGCATGTGTCTCAGCTTCACCCTTCATTCATCTCTGCCATTCCGTTCTAGACATTGTTTTATCTGTATGGCTGTCCACACTCTTCATTTCACTTCATTTGGACTAATACATTTCAGCACACCGCACTGTTTCAGTCTAAACTGACTTGCCCTACCTGATTTCTGACCGCTCTAATTTTATTGAGTCAAAGTGTCACCGAGTCTTCTGATCCGTTCCTATGTTCATCTTACCTACGTAGGCATTTCGATCTCCCTCGCTGTTCATCTATAATGGTTTTATCCCCCCCCAAATTGACCTCAACCTGACAGCATAGTTCCGTCATCGACGTACATCACTGCTCACTGCAGCGTTTTAGCATCACTTGTCCAGACTTATCCAAGCACTTTCATTTTGTTCTCATGAGTAGGGGATTTTTGATGTAATTAAGTGAGGTTCTTCGCAGCCAGTTTCCAAATCAGATAGTCGTCCACATGCCCGGAAAGCACAGAACTGCAGTTTCAGCCTGTTGGGCATCATCAGTAGTGCGCATCCATCGGATCCATCAGGATTCGAACCCATGACCACCAACGGATTGAACCGCCAGTCAGCAGCTTATGCCACTGGGCCACGGGGGACAGCTTCGGACCGTCGTGATTTACAAGCTAACTGCGATATAGCGCGTCTTATCCTCCACTGCCATGCAAGTTACGAACGTTGCAGAGGACAGGGTTGGCCCCGAAAGACACGACGTCCACTAACAGTAGCTATGTACGACATAGCATTTAGAAACTGTCAGGGCGGATATAATTTGATGTACTCATGAGTAGGGGATTTTTGATGTAATTAAGTGAGGTTCTTCGCAGCCAGTTTCCAAATCAGATAGTCGTCCACATGCCCGGAAAGCACAGAACTGCAGTTTCAGCCTGTTGGGCATCATCAGTAGTGCGCATCCATCGGATCCATCAGGATTCGAACCCATGACCACCAACGGATTGAACCGCCAGTCAGCAGCTTATGCCACTGGGCCACGGGGGACAGCTTCGGACCGTCGTGATTTACAAGCTAACTGCGATATAGCGCGTCTTATCCTCCACTGCCATGCAAGTTACGAACGTTGCAGAGGACAGGGTTGACCCCGAAAGACACGACGTCCACTAATTGATGGATCCGATGGATGCGCACTACTGATGATGCCCAACAGGCTGAAACTGCAGTCTAGTGCTTTTCCGGGCATGTGGACTACTATCTGATTTGGAAACTGGCTGCGAAGAACTTCACTTTCATTTTGTGTTGAAGCTAATTTTCCGGAGGTGGCGGCAAAGGTGACCAGGATGTGTATAGATCTGATACACCAGAACGTGGTCACACCGTAGACAGTGCTGCTTTCCACTGTGCTGATGGTATGACAGGTGGAACAATCCCTTCACTATTTTGATTGCTGTCGCTGTTAGGTCTCAGGTGCAAACAGATCGTGTTTCAGCCAGCGTTGCTAGGCCGGAATCATCTACCCTACATCGGGCCCCAAATGTGCATTGAGCGTTTGAGGGAAACTGGAGGGATCGAAACGCCAGAAAGCCCACCGCAAAAAACTAACATGTTGTTTCGCGCTTTTGTACACCTTCAATGGCTGCGCCGAACGGCCGAGGTCGTACTGCATCACAAGCTTTAGGCCGCTCTCCTGTCATGCGCTTTTCAAAATCTGCTCTCCAAGCTTATGTGCGCCAGTGGGCTTTTGGAACACATGTGCGGCTTTACACTTGTCAGTTTAGAAAAGAAGCAGATTTGCCTTTGGCTTTTCAAAAATGCGGGCCAAGTACATATCTGTGGCTTTGTTTATAGTTTGGTCAACAGCGAATCACTTATTGTACAAAATAAAAGCTACCCTGCATTCGGTCTGCTTCCTGTAACCGCAATCTGGGTTGCTGCGTTTTTTGCGCAACTGCAGATTGCTGTCAAGCATATGCAGGCGGTCATCCTGAGAGGCCATAATGCCCTGAATGGAGGTCTCCTTGAGGACCTCATAGCATTTCCTTCAAAGAACGCATAAATTCTCGAACATGCTCAGGGAGATGTGATATGAGCTGACTACAGTTAGCGTAGTCAGAATTGGTTGTGGTTATAACATTCAGCCTCTTGATGAGCAAACGACAATAGGAGATTTATGTCCCACAAAGTTGCGAAAGCGAGACACGACATTAAAGGCTGGAAACACCAAATTTTCTGTCTACAGAATCCATAATAAGCAACAAGCAAAAATAAGCCTGAAAATAGGAAAACAATTGAGAGGTCGAGCTCGCCTTAAAAAAATGCAAAATCTCCAGCATGATGTTCTGTAGGATTTGGGATTGCCAATATATAGCGGGGGCCGAAACAGTGTTTGCAGAGATGAGATTGATCGCAGGGTAGCTTGCAGTTTGCACAGCATAAGATTCCCTATTGTAATACCTATCAAAAAGTGATGCTAATAGGCATTGCTGGCCAGGAGAAAGAAATGGTCTAACTCATGAAGCGGTCACATGTTGTGAACCAGCTGCTCACTAAGAAAAATGTGGCGCTCATTACAAACAACTGAACTCAACAAGCAGTTCAACATTCCGCACCGATAGCCTAAGTGTACACTGAAACAGTAAACTTAGCATTTTAAACAAGCACACCGGGAAAATCTCCAGACTACTGCAAATGCCAGCCGGAAAATTTGTACGACAGCACGCGCAGCGTCTTTCCATTGTCCATGCCCTGCTTAAAAGACTCTTTACACAGTACCCTATTTCACCGTGTAATCTTACGCATCACTTTGGGGGGGGGCATTAAAAGTTTAAACAATAGAGATGCAGTATTAGCGAATTAAGAGGCGATGCGTTTTGGACAATGTACACCCATGACACATTATACCGTTAGTCTTTAGAAGGCTTTAAGGTGTTCATTAATAGAAACCCAGAGGCCTCGTAACTGAAATACTGACGAGATTGACCACCGAACATATTTTACCTGGCGACCCAATGACAAAGGTAGCTGAAGTTGTTACCATTCAGGAGTCCACCTTAATCATCAGCATTATACACGTCAGCAAGAGGTGGGGAACACCTCAGCTACTGTGCCGCAACACATAAGGAAAAGGAAAATAAACACAACAGTTGCATTCCACCTTACTAATAAGCTAATTACTCCGTTGTATCGATTCGGCATTTCTTAGCCGTCCTGGTTTCAGTGAGCGCCACCAGTACGTTAACTCGATGCCTGAGTAACCACTACGTTGTATTTCATCGTTTTGTAATACTGCTTGTTTATCGTGCGGTCAACAAGTAGACTACTACATCGACTGAGCTTCAGTTTGGTTAAACTCTATGCACATTCGGAACAGTGAATAGGCAGACAATCTACCACCAAAGATACTTGAATTTAGGCAACTGTCTGGTCATCACATCTACGGGTCTCAAATGATCTACTTGCCTTGTGTGTGATGCCTTCACGGCTACCAATCATAGTGACCCCGAATCTCATTTGAGCAGATGTGCTTGCGCATAGTGAAGACAGTAACTCACGTGCACGTGGGCCAATCAGAACGCAGTGATCAGTTCGTCGCACACTCCACTCCCGCCGATGCCATCGCTACACTACAGTGTCCACCGGGTCAAGAACGCGGATGCATCGGCTGCTCTCACGGTGGTGGAATGCTTTTATTTGATGGAGAGCCGGTGCTTTTCTTTCTCTTCGTATTTTCTGTCCTCGGTCTGCTTGTTGGTGGATGCCTATGGGGCTCTGGAGAGGATGACTTGAACCACCCCAAAATGGTTGGGGGCATAGTCTTGTTCATCATCGGATGTGCCACCACGGTCGTATTCTTAGTCGTGTTCACATACAAACGTGTCCGAAGGCGAAAGAAAAAAAGACGTGAAATTGAGCAGATACTTCGTTTCCAAGAGTCTGCCATGACTGAGGAGCCGAACCCTGCCCCAATCCAATCGAAGCGCCACGCTTACGAAAATCGCGCAGCAGAGCTGAAGGACAGTGTCACCCAGTTCTAAGGTCGGCGAGTGACCTATGTTACGGCCAATTGCGTATTACAATACATACCCGTGCTATTCCGAGTAGACCGCTAATTGGAGGATGGATTGCTGACTCCCCAAGTGTACAAATTGTGAACCGGTAAGCATGACAACAAACTAGGAATAACACAAAGCAATGCCGCTGTTGGTATGCTCCATTTTCAATTTTTGTGATATCCGTTTGTAACCTATTTTTGAATTGATACTTCAGAAGTGACAACTGTACGAAACAAGAGTCATGTTCAACCCCTTTATTTTGCAGAATCGCTTTGAAAACTTATACCTATTTTCTTGTTCCCTAGAGTGTTTGGAATTATTTTGTTGTAGCTCTGTACCTTTTTGTGAGCTAATCTACTAACAATTTTGGTGACACTGAACACACCTTTTGAACCTATACAGCAGCCCATTGTTCGCCTCCCATCGAAGTACTGGTGGCCAGTGGATGGTAACATCAAAAATAACTCAGCAGTTGTACACTTAACATAGGCTGAATATGCTTCCAGGGACCATGTATTCCGTTGCTGTGCATGTTTGTCACTTGATCTAGTCTAGTTCATTTTTTAAGACGTTATCGAAGATTGGCAATAGACTTAAAGACGCTCCTCTCTGTCCATAATGCCGTTCGATGAACGCCGTATTTCGTGGTAACAGACCGACACCACAACTGACGGTTTGGAGGATGGTTGCGAATGACTCCCAGAGGCAAATGTCGCGGTTGTCAGCAAGGTAATAGGTCCGAATTAGGTAGCAGCTTTTATTCCCATAGTGAAGGCCTATGTTCAACATTTATGGATACATACTGCACTTGTTGATTTGAGTGGCAACTGAAAATCCACAGCGGCGGAATAATGCCTGAGGTATTCTCTTTGAATCCACTTTGCACACTATGATTTCCACGCGACGGGACTTGTTACTTTGACTTAGGTCAAGAGCAAAATAACGATAATACTAATGTCTAGGTTAACAATGGCGACCCAAGGTTAATGGGAATAACCAAAACAGAAATAACTCATGATATAGAATGGCGCAGCTTGAGTGTTAAGAAGCTGCTTTGCACCCCGAGCTGAGCTGAGCGATTCGATTGTGGAGGTTTCGTCCAGGATCGACGTGGCATCATCGGTGCGTAAGAATGGGGATAGGTGCGCACCAGTAGTAATAGTAGCAATAGCCTTGATAGCTCAAGCGGCGATTCACACTACTCCGTGATTAATCACTCGGATGGATCTGGGATGGACTCATTTCAAATTTTTATAAAGCAAAGCTTCTGATATTTAGGCAATGGCTTCCACTGCTAATACTATGGCTATCACCACCCTGGGGCACTGATGATATCACTTCGACTGGTGACGAAACTTTTACAAACGGATTGCTCAGTTCAACAAGCAAACCAACAGCTCAATAAGGAAGTTTCTGGACGGAACCGTTTTGGTTCATAACTGCACCGCTGAATCACGACCGTACCATACCCTGAGGTGGCAAGTCCCTAAGCCCTTCCAGAAAGACAGTAAGACCAACTATACCTGTACTTTTGAGGAGATTTTTCATGTTTATTTGCTATGTTATTGACCTGACATGCTGATGCTGTACACCCGACTTGGTGCACCGTTAACGAACAATACACGGCGATGCAGTGTGCTTACAGGCGTATGGAGCACGCAACAGAGCTAGAGTAGGTGCCTCGGCCTAAAGTGACCCCGTAGTGATGCGTCGGAGCGACTGTTGCTGAATCCAGATTGTCAGTTTCAGCCTTACTCATTTGGGTGTCCGAACAGACATGCGCAAAACATCATGTGTACCAGTAGCAATGGTATCATGTCGCTGACCTACTACCCTTAGTTGCTCAGTTAAATCGTATTAACGGGTAAGAAGACAGATCCCATTCAATATGATGCTTAAATACCGAGTGTTCCGTTAAACAGTGTGGACAGATGGATGTTTATACACTATGCGATATGTAGGTCAGTGCTTTTGTGTTATGCCATCGTGTTGAACAAGATGTCACGGAACAATACACATATCGGGCGATTCCTAGGGCAGCTGGTACTTAAAACCATCTGTACTGGGGATCGGCTGCGCAAACCAATTAGATACTATTCCGGGTGATAGCATTGAAGTATTACGTTTTCATTACGGCTGCATTGCGAACGCAAGCCATCGAACCAGGAGTGCACTCATCTATGCAGCGGTTGACTTCACACCACATAGTTAAGTTGGAAGCAGTGCACATGCTGGGTTGTGAAACGGCACCACGCTGATAGTGCATGTAGTCTAGTAGTGACATCCAAGCTGCCCCTCCGTAAGAAAAATACGATACTTGTAATACGCGGTATCACACAAAGATTTTTTCAACATTGTCAGATGACTACATCTAGGTAACTTGTGGCAGTAGAGACTAGGTTTTAGGAGAAAAGGCCAATGCACTTATTGGTCATATTACCATATCCTCGAAAATCGGTGCCAAGTAATCCAAACCCCTGTGAAACACGAACATTGCAGCGTAGGGTTAATGAAAGCATGGTGTTTACACGGACATAGTGTGTCCAGCCGGACCGCATTAACCCAGAATCCTATACTACTCCATCCTTCATTTACCATAATGATGTATTGGTAACTGGACCCTGGTTGCCTGGGTGAAACTACTCTCGTTTGATGCGGTGACACAGACCATCTCCTGATATAACCGCACAAATGTTTACCTTACTTAACTTTAGTTTACGAATCAGAATCCTGCTTCGCTCTGATTGTTAAACGAATGCCTTCGTTTATCAAACCGCGGCTCCCATTTCGCTCGGCTGACTAATGTTCGCATTATTTCACTATGAAATTTACCTGCATCTGTCAGACGAGGAGACCCACTGTATCGTCAAGCTTATTGCTTCGGATAACTTTTTAGCCAAGTAGAAGTCAATGGAAAAACTGAAAGATTTCTAGGTAGTGATGCTCAAACTTCTCTGTGGTGCACCAACCGTTTCATCGGTTTCCGGGTGACCTACCCTTTATCTTCGGTACTTGACATTACAAATTAAGGGAAGGCAACTTCCTTGCTTTTGCACATCTGGTCGTAAGCACACAGATTACGAGGAACAAAGTATGTCGATTTCGCTCATTCATCAAGGAAAGAAGCCAGTCTCTTGAAAAGTGAGCTGATTAGTTCCAGGGCCTGCTGTTGGTTCTCGATCGAATATTTCGGTTTACAATATGTGGGCTACTCGTTCATGCTGTGACTGAAGCCACACCACAAAATTACCAACACCCATTGCACAAAAACCCGGAACGTGACTTTGTTTTGTACATGAATTTATTCAACTTTGCTGTAATGATGAACTACGAAACTGATCTGAACCACACCCCTTCCTCCACTGATGGCTTGCTCACCTGATACTATTAGATTAATCATTAATCGAACGCGGCCCAAATATACACTAGCACCTGCATCATCCACCATCATTCTTTTCAAATCCCTTAACGACAAACTGCAGTCTTCTTCGGTGAAACCGTCATCGTACTATCCTCTAAGCAAGTCATACAGAGTCCAACAGGGACTAACTAGTTAGACACCCTCTCATCTTTTCTGCTACCTAAAACATACTTAATTTTGGCAGCATTCAAGCTGCCGCCCTAAAGCACGTTGGACAACAAACCGATCTTGCTCAAACCCTGGAAACTCTTATAATAGATGTCTGCTGCTTGCCCGAAATACGAATTCCGGATCCCTGTGAAGTCTACCAATTGCCGGCACCAGTTCACACACTTCCATTCCTGCGTCTCGGAAGCTGCCGAGCTATCGAACCTGAGCAAGCTCGTTTTGGAATCGCTCTTACTGCTAGAGTCGAAGCCGGCCTCCTTTAAAGGATTCCACACAACAATCGCCTGTGTTCAGTGAGACTAAATGACTCTCGCGAAGCTAAAAGGCGGCGAGAAAACAAACTGTATTTTTCATCTCTGTCCAGCCTCTCACTGACTGTAGCTCGATTAAAATCGTAGACCAACTACCTTAGGCCCCTCGAGATCTGTTTCCAACAGCCTAGAAAGCAAACGTCATCATGATAACAATGAACGCCACCTAGGAGGCCCGTATGAATACCGTGTCGCTCACTTAGAGAATGTATAAGGAGTGCTCAATTTGTGTGCTGAGCGCTAACTTTACATTTTAGCATGAACTTTCATCCCTTATGTGTCATAAGGCAACTGTGTGTCCTCTAACATCCTCTCAGCGTTGATCGTAGACTGAACACATTGTTAAAAGTCAGCGGTGTGGTAATATTCGGGATTGCAGATTCTACTGGTTTGCGTACATCGAATCCGATCATGCACTGCTATGCGCGACATTTTGTGTGCATGTTGGTGGATCGTCTAAGATCAAAAAGACTCGACTGAACACAAGAAAATTTGAAGACCCCACCGGTTGGGTGGAATATCAACGGAAACTTCGTGATAGCTCCACTTCTACCCCTCCTCGGGAAGTTTACTGGCGTTGCTCACGCATGCAACAGAGCATGCTTTTCCTGGGTCTATCCAGCTGTGGCCTTGTTCGTTGCACAGATAGAAGTTGGATTACAGCAGCATACTCTGAACTGCTTTATCATCGATATGCTGCACTTGTCGGTGTGGAGTATGATGAAGTTAGCCAGTAGGTTTCTCGACTGCTGAAATCAAGCGAATGCTGGTGATCTAAACGCGCCAAGGAAACGTAAGCTTTGCCTCCGGTGAAAACACCTAGGTTCTTTTATAACGCTAAATCCACTGGATGCAACTCGCGTGCCACCACAGACAAACAATGTACAATTTGAAAACCACGGTAAGAAGACGGAAGCTGGTAGATGCATGGATCTACCAGCTTTCAAATTCCTGAAGGGAACTAACTGCTTTAAACCTACATTTTGACAATCCAAAATTTCTATCAACGCATGCTTTCAGATCGCCGAGCGAAGCAGTTTGCTCTTTATTGTGACCACCCAACACACCCCTGGGTGACAGTTCCATTTCCATATGGTGACGCTTAGTCTGTCCGCATAGATGCTACAAGCTACAAGGAGATTCAGGGAAAAATCCAGAGTCTAATCAGTCACAAATCTTCTGACCCTGACAGTCATGCTTATACCCAGTCAAAGATGGAGAGAGAGCGCAGTCATTAAGGCAATTCTTTATTCATGGGGGTATTGAACAATGGCTCAGTAGGGGTAAAATAAGGTCAGACTTAACATCTCCGGTAGGATTTTCTTGACGAACATTGCAAAAAATGGAAGTCTTTTCAGCAAAAGTAAGTTCACACAGTTGGGCTCCCCGAGATATGCGTAATAACACAGTTAGCCCAGTGTAGGTCTATAAGAAATGACAACAAATGGAAAGTTTGTAAAAGCCATGTCGTCTCATAGTAGTACTGTGCAGATGAGAAAAGCAAAAAGTATTTCGGGAGTTGATTGGCAGCGAAATCTCTTACAGACACTCGTATGTAGCGATTGAAAAT